CCTGATCAATATTGCTCTACTAATGATAAAAATGAAAAAGAAATAATAAAAGTTATGGAAGAACACGTAAATAAAACTGTAGTTATCGAAAATACAGAAACAATTAATATTTCCAATGATACGACTATTAAAGAAGTAAAAATTGGGTTAACACTAAGTCAAGACGAACGCAAAGAGCTAATTAACTTGCTTAGTGAATTTGTTGTGTATTTTCTTGCTCATACCAAGATATGCCAGGAATTGACATGGATATAGCTCAGCATACGATACAACTCATTCCAGGTATGAAGCCTGTCAAACAAAAGCTGTGTCGTTTGAAACCGGATGTGGCTCTCAAATCAAAGAAGAAATCAGAAAGCAATTGGCCGCAGATTTCATCAAAGTATCCAAGTATCCAGAGTGGATAGCAAATGTGGTTCCAGTTCCAAAGAAGGATGGAAGGGTCAGAATGTGTGTTGATTACAGGGATCTTAATAAGGCAAGCCCGAAAGATGGGTTCCCTCTACCTCACATTGACATTCTGGTCGATAACACGGCAAACCATGCACTCTTATCGTTCATGGACGGCTACACCGGATATAATCAAGTTTTAATGGCCGAAGAAGATATGGAGAAAACCATATTCATCACACAATGGGATACATATTGCTATACGATAATGCCATTCGGGTTAAAAAACGCGGGTGCCACCTACCAAAGAGCAGCCACAGCATTGTTACATGATATAATGCACAAAGAGGTGGAGGTTTATGTCGATGATATGATCGTTAAGTCTAAATATCGCCCAGGCCACATCATTGCACTTCGCAAGTTTTTTGAAAGACTCCGCAAATACAACATGAGATTAAATGTAATCCCACATGATTTTGAAATTATAATAGTTATATTTTATCATTAATTATATGATTATTTTACGATAATTGTATAATTTTATAAATATTTCGAAAATAATTAATTAATTTTAAGCTATTTAGCCATTACCAACTATTGACAATAATCATTTTACCTAAACAAACTAAAGGCTTAGTCCAAGTTACCTCAAAGCCCAACCTTACACCACATGTTTTTTTTAAGCTTTGGTATATATTTGGGACTAAACAAGTTATCCTAATTATATTTTGATTAGGAAACTCTCAAACCCAATTCTTATTAATCATACGCACCTTATTTCCCTCACTCCTTCCTCCTCTCTCACGTAAAACACCACAAGAAGAAAAAAAAAGGAACTGCAAACCCTTGTTGCCGCCCCAACCTCCGCGACACCGCCTGACCGCCGCGCCGCCTTGCACAGCCAGCCGCCCAGCAGTTCGCCCCTCCTCTCTTCTCCTTCCTCTTGTTTTCTCGTCCTTTATTTTTGTTATTTTGATTAAAGCTTCAATTTTTTTTTATTTCAATTATAAAATTATTGTTATTAGGCTTTAATAGTATGTTTAAATTACAAAAGATTATAAATTTATGGATTTAGTATGTCTAAATTATTAAATAAAATTTCAGATTATATATTTTGTATATTTAGGGTTTAAAGCATTGATTTTTTCATGTATTAGGGCTTGATAACGTGTTAATTAAGTTATCTAATCATACTATGTTTAAATTACGTTAAAGTATAATTTTTTTAATCGTATATAAATTTTCAGATTTATTAAAGTTTCAATTTTTATGAACAAGTTGTGTTAATTTCATGTTTTTATGCTTCTAAACCTATAAAAAAATTATTGTGAGTATTTTATGATTGAAAAAGCTTTGAACTTTAAATTCTAATTTTAAAAATAATTTTCAGATTTCATACTTTTTATTTTGAAGCCTCTAATTGCATTGAATTGATATATTTTTGGGTTTTTAACACACTAACTTGCTATATAATGATTATTTCAAGTAATTATGCTTATGGGGTTATTTTATATACTTAAAACAAATTTTCAGATTTATTTACTTACTTTAAAGGTTCTGTAATTTGATATAAAACACTATATTTTCATAATTCTAAATATAAACTTAAAGTTGGGATGTTATATTATTAACTTTGATTATTAGGGACAATTTAAAGGCTTTATTTTGATGATTTAAGAGGTTTTAAAGTAGTTTAGTATTGCTGTAAATTTATTTGCTTTGGTATTGATTTATTTCTAATTGTTTGGTTTAGGAGAGGACTTTGTAGAAGGTGACTTCTAGTTTTAAAGTGGCCAACCGGATTGTTTACACAAGCTACGTACAAGCTACGAAACCTTGCTTGTAGGTGCATGTTTAAGGACGGATCGAGAACTTAGTATCATGTATAAGATTGACTAGGTTAAATTGGCTGGTTATACATTGTGAATTTCAAATGGTGTGCACTAGTTTATAATGCGAATATTATTTGTGCTCTAATTATGCAAGGTGCGCTTAAAGGCAAAGGTATGTGATTGGTGTAAAGATTAAATTATTACTCATTCATGATTATGCAAACAGGATGAGTAAAGGAGAAATTCAAGTCTTTAAGCTGAGGTTAAGGTTTTGGGGTGCCTTATGCACTCAAGGTGTTTATACACCGAGGTAGTAAAGGAATAATTAATAAATGTTGTTTGTCACTAATAAATCAAGAATTTAAATTGAGAATTTGACATGTTTGATTGAATTGTGTTTGGGATGTTTGTATTGTAATGTATATGAGTCATCACCGAGTCTAAACCTGTAAATCACGTAAATTGCAAGATGGATGAGCAATAAAACTCTGGAATGGTGCACATCTGGAGTAATGACAATCAGGGGTTGGGTACATGGGTATTAGTCGTGTACTTTTATCGAGGCCGTCTGATTTACGAGTCTCCTATTTCAAATATTATTTTTCTAAAACTAGGAGTTAGGTGAGATCTCATACTAACTATGGTCACGGAGTCGCGCCCGTGGTCGTTGGATGTTTATTGATGTTTTCGAAAGGAGGCATGGGGCTTTTCTTTTATTGATGTTCCAAATGGGACATGGGTTGGACAACCTTGTCTATTGAAAAATCCAATGAAATAAGTAAATTAGTCAGTTAATATTAATTAGTGAGGTCTTAATAAATTTAATAATCAAGTCATGAATTGAGTCTATATTCTATGATGCTTGTGCTTGATTATTAATAGCATGTTAGGTATTTTCTTAATTTATTTTGCAGCTTGTATGTACTCAGCTTCACTGATTGCGTGCTTTTCTGTGTGTCTTTCTTTGGTCATGGCCTTCGCCTTTTAATGACCCTGTGACGATCCAATTTTTACACTTGTAATGTTAGGGAGAAGAATAACCACAAGTTCTTACAAATGCAACATTCATCAGGGTTGTGGGATCTTGAGTAGAGAGTTGGTTCTTTGCATTTTATTCCTTTTGCAAGTTTGAATTTATTTTAATATGAATTTATTTGACGCTATTTCTTTTGGGTTTGAATTAATTTGAACACTAGATTTAATCACTTACTACTTTTATTGGGTTTTGAATAAGGGCCTTAATGGTTCCAACTTGTAATACTTATTTTGATTTAATTCCTTCGTTTTGAGGTTTATTTATAACTGTTTTGGTTTTCCTCTACTAATTTCTGAGATAGCCTTAACGTTTGAACACGTGGCGGTAGCACGCCGATAATTCTCTTGAAATTGTTCAGGTTATATACAGGTTTCTCACAGGTTTTTAAGAGAGAATTATTGGGGTGTTACAAAGTGGTATCAGAGCTTAGGTTAGATTTAATTACCACTAAAGCCAATTATCTTAGTATGACTTAGGCTTTTATTCAATGATTTAAATTTTGAATTTTAATGATTTTTTTTTATTCATTTGAAAATAGTATGTTTTAAACAATTTTATTTAAAACAATTTTGAAGTTTATTTTGTCTACTTGGTGAGTTTTGGGTAGACTTAAGAAGGGAATGCATGCACATATCATACATATTTTTTTCATTTAATTATCACATGAAGTGTTATTTTCTTATTTATTTAACATGTTATAATTATGTTCTAATTGATTTATTTTAATGATGTGCTTGTGTTATGATTTTTTGAATGTTCATTGCGTTGGGTTAACGTAGAAAAGAGATGAGCGACTCAGTAATCACGTCTGAAAGCGTGAGTAATGATATTAGGAACAACCCTATTGTTGTGTCTGAGGATGAGAATGATACTCGAAGTGACGATACTCTAGAAAGGTTTGAAAAGATTATGACGCCAACTAATCCAGATGAGGAAGACTACCAGTACTTACATGAGTTTAAAACAACAAAGAATAAGTATAAGATTAAAACCTACCAAAGAATGTCCCATGATTATACTCTTATTGAATTTCCTGATGAGGAAGAGCTTGAATGGTTACAACCACGACCTGAAGACCAAATGCTTAGAAGAGGGCTACTAGAAATCCGAATCTGGTCTACAAGGCAGTAATTGTTGAAGACTCAGATGATGAAAATGACTTGATTTTGATGTTAATAATTATAATGAGAAGAAAGATAAGAACAACAATGTGATACCTTGAGGATTATTTTTGTTAGGGCGGAGTTAGCATGAATAAGGCATTTGCCATTGATAATAGTTATTAGAACCTCATTATAGTCTAATTTGGATGATTAATTTTAATAAGTAGCTAGTGCTACAGAGTCTTTTTTTGGGATTGATACCTTTATATAGGTTATTTTAAGAAGTTGATATTTTATTTTTTTAAGAGCTTCATTTTACTTTTATTTGTGAGCAAGAGCAAGTTTAATTTTTGTAATCATATACTTTTTGGGGAAAATTTCTTTGTCTATGATCAAACTTAATAACAGTGTCGCGGGATGGGAAATTTTTTTTTTTCTTAAATTCATTTAATCCTGCGTATGAATCGTGCATTTATTGTGTGGTTTTGCTTGGGACAAGGGGGTGCAATCTCAAGGTAACCTTTTGAACCAATTTATGTGACAAATGTAATATTGTGATTCAATGAATATGTGTGAATAGTATTTGGGTTTCGTTTAAAATGGAGTGCATATTTATTTTATTTCAGGCGTAGAGATATAATGGTTGAGAACGCTGCCTTAGCTGATGCTATTCGTTTGTTGGCTGAAAATGTGATCCAAAACCGGGGAGACCAAGTCGACCCCCAAGCTGAAATGTTTAAGAAGCTGGCCCAGGTTAGGCCACCAGTTTTTAGGGGAGGTGCTGACCCTACTTTCCTAGAAAACTGGATTCGAGAGTTTGACAAGTTGTCCGTCGCACTCAACTGTCCCGAGGGTATGAAAGTGGACCAGGCCGCTATGTACCTTAAGGACGAAACTGATATCTGGTGGAGATACAATGTTGTGACCGTTAGGGCCAAACCTAACTTTGGGTGGGAAGTGTTTAAGACCTCCTTGAGGGACAAGTTTTACCTCCCGTTCCTGAAGAAACAAAAGGCTCAGGAGTTTATAAATCTGGCAATGGGAGACATGTCAATCTTTGAGTACTATAATAAGTTTATGACCCTTTCTAGGTTTGCTCCTGAGGTAGTACCAACCGAAGAGCTGAAGGCTCAGAGGTTTGAGCATGGATTGACAGACGAGTTACAGAAGGACCTAGCCGAAATTTTTTTTAAAACCCTAGACAAGGTCTATGAGAGAGCTTCCCATCTGTACCATCTGAATACTAGGACTGCTAGTGCGAGTGCTAAAGCTGGGGAGAAAAGGAAGGACTTTGGGAAATCTGAGAACCACGGTAACTTTAAGAGGTCTAGAAATGGGAACTCGTTTGATAGGGGTAACCAGCATGTTAGCAGTTCTTCTAATGCTAACAATGGAGAGAGAACCTACCACTGTAAGAGGTGTAGAAGGAACCACCCTGGGAGAGACTGTGATGGGAATTTGGTGACCTACCGGTTCTACAACAAAAGGGGACACAGGGAGTATGAGTGTTACACCAAGCAAAAACAACAGGGAAATGGTGGGAATGGTGGGAACACCCAGCAGAGGCCTAACAATTTCAACAACCAGGGGAATAGGGAAAATGGTCAAAATGGGAAGTTTGGGAATGGTAGCAACAATAACAACAGGTCTGGCAATGACAATAGCAACAATTCAAGCAACAACAACAATGGTTATCAGACAAGAAACAACACTCCCGGCCGCTTGTCTGTGATGAGCAAGGGAGAAGCTGAGAGGTCCTCGGATGTAGTTACTAGTACTTTTTCTATCTAATCTGTCTCTGTCAACACTCTATTTGACTCTGGAGCAGCTTATTCTTTCATTTATACTTCTATTGTGTGCAAGTTAAACTAAACTGAATCGAGTCATGTTGATGTGTCAGTCAGTCTGCCTACGGGCAAACTTGTTCATTGTAATAAAATATTCAAAGGCTTGCCTTTGAAAATAGGAGAAGCTATATTTCCATCAAACCTTATTGAGTTTAACCTAGGGGACTTAGATGTAATTCTGGGGATAGATTGGCTAAGTTTATACAAGGCTAAGATAGACTGTAAGATGCAGAGCGTGCAGTTGAGTGATCCTTTGGGTAAGAAAGTGTCCTATTGACGGTTAGGGAAGCCTAAGGGTTTTGGCATCATTTTTGCTATGAAGGTGAAGAAACCAGTGAATAAGGGATGTCCATTGTACTTTTGTTGTGTTCAAGATTTGAGTATGAGTGAGAGTAGGTAGATGGAGGATGTGCCTATTGTGAATGAGTTTTAAGAGGGAAGTTGAGTTTACCATTGACTTAGTTCCAGGAGCTGCACCTCCCTCAAAAGCACCGTATAGAATGGCACTAGCTTAGATGAGTGAACTAAAGGCTCAATTGCAGGAGTTATTAGACAAGGGGTTCATTAGGCCCAGTGCATCACCTTGGGGAGCACCTGTGCTATTTGTGAAAAAGAAGGGTAGAAGTTTAAGGCTATGTATTGATTATAGAGAGCTGAATAATGTGACTGTGAAGAATAAGTACCCTCTACCTAGGATAGATGACTTGTTTGACCAACCGAAGAGGGAAAGCGTGTTTTTGAAGATTGACTTCAGATCGGGGTACCATCAGTTGAAGGTTGCAGATAAAGATATTCCAAAAACAGCCTTTAAAACTCGGTATGGACATTACGAGTTTATGGTCATGCCTTTTGGGTTAACTAATGCACCAACCATATTTATGGACTTGATGAACCGAGTGTTTCATGAGTTTTTTGATAAGTTCGTAGTTGTGTTTATTGATGACATTTTGGTGTATTCGAAGAATGAGGAAGAACATGCTGAGCACTTGAGAACTACCCTTGAAACACTTAGAAAGAACAAGTTGTATGCTATGTTTTCCAAGTGTGAGTTCTGGTTGGAGAAAGTTGCATTTTTGGGGCATTACATTTCGAAGGAGGGTGTATCCGTGGATCCTGCGAAGATCAAGGCGGTAAGTGAGTGGCCTACACCTAAGAATGTGACTGATGTTCGTAGGTTCTTGGGATCAGCTTGATATTATAGAAGGTTTGTTAAGGATTTTTCGAGGATAGCCAGAATCATGACTACTCTTATGAAGAAGCAGAGAAAGTTTGAGTGGAACGAGAGTTGTGAATCAGCTTTTCAAACCCTCAAAGAGCGATTGACCACTGCACCAGTGCTGGTATTACCTAATGGGATAGAAGTATTCGAAGTGTTTAGTGATGCCTCAAAGCATGGTCTAGGATGTGTCCCACAGTAGAATGGAATGGTGATCGCATATGCATCTAGACAACAGAAGAAACATGAAGTTAACTACCCTACCCATGACTTGGAGCTTGCAGCCGTTGTATTCGCTTTGAAGATTTGGAGGCACTACCTTTACGGTGTTTCTTGTAAGATCTTCACGGACCATAAATGTCTAAAGTACATCTTCACCCAATATCACTTGAACATGCAGTAACGTAGATGGTTGGAGTATCTTACAGACTACCATGTCCACATCCAGTATCACGAGGGAAAGGCGAATGTAGTTGCAGATGCCCTTAGCAAGAAGTCGAGTCATAATGTCAATGCTTTAATTGTGGCCAATAAGTTGTGTGAAGATATGAGGAGATTGAACCTTGAGGTTATCAACCAAGGAGAGTTAGAGGGATTACTAAGTTCTTTAACCATCCAACCTTCCATATTTGAGGAGATTAAAGAAAAGCAACTTGAGGATGAGTCATTTCGGAAGATTAGGGATCGTGTGACTAGTGCTGCGGAGACTGAATTCAAGATTCATGAGGATGGGAGCTTGAGATATAAGGAGAGATGGTGTATATCATAGACGTGTGAAGATATTAAAAGGAAAATCATGGAGGAGTACCATAATACACCATATTCAGTTCACCCTAGGGGTGATAAGTTGTATAAGGACTTGAAGGAGTTCTATTGGTGGCCGAATATGAAGAGAGAAGTGGCTGAGTTTGTATCCAAGTGTCTGACGTGCCAGAAGGTGAAATGGGAAAGGTACAACCATTAGAAATACTAGGTGGGAAGTGGGATTTCATATCCATGGACTTTGTGACAGGCTTACCAAAGATTCGTACTGGGAATGACACGATTTGGGTGATTGTAGACAAACTTACCAAATCAGCGATGTTCATTCCTATCAAAGAGACTTGGAAAAAGAAGCAGCTAGCAAGTGTCTATGTGAAGAATGTAGTTCGGTTGCATGGAGTTCCCAAGGACATAGTGTCAGATAGAGACTCTAGGTTTCTATCAAAGTTTTGGTAAAAAGGGCAAGAGAACCTTGGAAAACATTGAAGATGAGTACTGCCTTTCACCCTGCAATTGATGGTCAGACTGAGAGAACAAACCAAACCATGGAGGATTTGTTACGAGCTTGTGCTTTAGACTTCCAAGGGAATTGGGAGGACCACTTACCTTTGATCGAATTCTCCTACAATAACAGTTACCATGCAAGCATCAAGATGGCACCATTTGAAGCATTGTATGGAAGGAAGTGTAGAAGCCCAGTTTGCAGGAATGATTACAGTGAACGGGTTACTTTGGGTACAGATTTCATTGAGGATATGGTGAGCAAGTAAGACTAATCCAGTCGCGTATCAAGGCAGCACAAGATAGACAAAAAAGTTATGCCGACTTGAAGAGGAGAGATGATGAGTTTAGTGTTGGGGACAAAGTCTTTCTAAAGGTTTCTCCGACAAAAGGTGTGATGCGATTCAGCAAGAAAGGGAAGCTTAGTGCAAAATATGTAGGTCTGTACCAACGTGTGGGGAAAGTAGCTTACAAATAAATTTGCTTTGCCAATGGAGTTCGAGAAAATGCATGATGTGTTCCACATTTCCCAATTGAAAAAGTATGTGCCTAGTGAAACCCATGTTTTGCAGCCGAAGACTATTCAACTAGATGAGTCTCTAACTTATGAAGAAAGATCAGTCAAGATACTAGACCACAAGGTGCGTAGTACTAGAACCAAAGATGTGAAGATAGTGAAAGTCCTTTGGTCAAACCAGGAGTACGAAGAGGCTACTTGGGAGGCCGAGGAAGATATGAAAAACATATATCCCGAATTGTTTGACGAGGTGAGTTACGAGGGCGTAACTCTTTTCTTTTGAGGGGGGGAAGAATGCGATGTAATTTCGCGCTTTTACCTCAATTATACCATTTAGTGCTTGATTTTGCACGTTTTTGCATGTTTTTGGTTATCATTATGCATTATTATTGCTTTTACATACAATAAAAGTATGTAAACTTTGGCCAAATATGAGTTCATTGAGTACAAAGTTCAGTTCGTTGAGTATGCATGTTCAGGATCAAGCAGTTTACATCAATACAAACCACAAAATATTTGAATGGTTTTGGAGAAATTATGATTTTTGAGTTAAGTTTCGAGCGCGAAACTTCTTTTAAGAGGGGTAGATTGTAATCCCCCATGATTTTGTAATTTTAATAATTATATTTTATCATTAATTATATGATTATTTTACGATAATTGTATAATTTTATAAATATTTCGAAAATAATAAATTAGTTTTAAGCTATTTAGCCATTACTAACTATTGACAATAATCATTTTACCTATACAAACTAAGATCCTAGTCCAACTTACCTCAAAGCCCAACCTTACACCACATGTTTTTTTAAGCTTTGGTATATATTTGGGCCTAAACAAGTTATCCTAATTATATTTGGATTAGGATACCCTCAAACCCAATTCTTATTAATCATACCCACCTTATTTCCCTCACTCCTTCCTCCTCTCTCACGTACAACACCACAAGAAGAAAAAAAAGGAGCTGCAAACCATTGTTGCCGCCCCTGCCGCCGCGCCACCGCTTGACCGCCCCCTTGATCGTCGCGCCGCCTTGCACAGCCAGCCGCCCATCAGTTCACCCCTCCTCTCTTCTCCTTCCTCTTGTTTTCTCTTCCTTTATTTTTGTTATTTTGATTAAAGCTTCAATTTTTGTTTGATTTCAATTATAAAATTATTGTTATTAGGTTTTAATAGTATGTTTAAATTACAAAAGATTATAAATTTATGGGTTTAGTTTGTCTAAATTATTAAATAAAATTTCAGATTATGTATTTTGTATATTTTAGGGTTTAAAGCATTGATTTTTTATGTATTAGGGCTTGATAACGTGTTAATCAAGTTATTTAATCATACTATGTTTAAATTATGTTAAAGTATAATTACTTTAATCATATATAAATTTTCAGATTTATTAAAGTTTCAATTTTTATGAACAAGTTGTGTTAATTTCATGTTTTTATGCTTCTAAACCTATAAAATAATTATTGTGAGTATTTTATGATTTAAAAAGCTTTGAACTTTAAATTCTAGTTTTAAAAATAATTTTCAGATTTATTTACTTACTTTAAAGGTTCTGTAATTTTATATAAAACACTATATTTTCATAATTCTAACATATAAACTTAAAGTTGGGATGTTATATTATTAACTTTGATTATTGGGGACAATTTAAAGGCTTTATTTTGATGATTTATGAGGATTTAAAGTAGTTTAGTATTGTTGTAAATTTATTTGCTTTTGTATTGATTTATTTCTAATTGTTTTGTTTAGGAGAGGACTTTGTAGAAAGGGACTTCTAGTTTAAAGTGGCCAACCGGATTGTTTACACAAGCTACGTACACGCTACGAAACCTTGCTTGTAGGTGCATGTTGAAGGACGGATCGAGAACTTAGTATCATGTATAAGATTGACTAGGTTAAATTGGCTGGTTATACATTGTGAATTTCAAATGGTGTGCACTAGTTT